TAAACGATTGCTCGCCTTTACTAAACTTGCGAGCGGTAATAAACAATGGCTTGCCCTTACAAAACTCGCAGGCGGTAATAAACGGTGGCTCGCCTTTTCAAAACTTCCGAGCGGTAATAAACGATAGCTCGCCTTTACAAAACTTGCGAGCGATAGTAAACGATGGCTTGCATTTACAAAACTTGCGAGCGATAGTAAACGATGGTTCGCCTTTACAAAACTCGCAGGCGGCAATAAACGGTGGTTCGCCTTTACAAAACTCGCAGGCGGTAATAAACGGTGGCTCGCCTTTACAAAACTCGCGAGCGGTAGTAAACGATGGCTCACTTTTACAAAACTTGCGAGCGATAGTAAACGATGGCTCGCCTTTACAAAACTTGCGAGCGGTAGTAAACGATGGCTTGCCTTTACAAAACTTGCGAGCGATAGTAAACGATGGCTAGCCTTTACAAAACTTGCGAGCAGTAGTAAACGATGGCTCGCATTTACAAAACTTGCGAGCGGTAGTAAACGATGGCTCGCCTTTACAAAACTTGCGAGCGGTAGTAAACGATGGCTCGCCTTTACAAAACTTGCGAGCGGTAATAAACGATGGCTCGCCTTTACAAAACTTGCGAGCGGTAGTAAACGATGGCTCGCCTTTACAAAACTTGCGAGCGGTAATAAACGATGGCTCGCCTTTACAAAACTTGCGAGCGGTAATAAACGATGGCTCGCCCTTACAAAACTTGCGAGCGGTAATAAACGATGGCTCGCCCTTACAAAACTTGCGAGCGGTAATAAACGATGGCTCGCCTTTACAAAACTTGCGAGCGGTAATAAACGATGGCTCGCCTTTACAGAACTTGCGAGCGGTAGTAAACGATGGCTTGCCTTTACAAAACTTGCGAGCGGTAGTAAACGGTGGCTCGCCTTTACAAAACTTGCGAGCGGTAGTAAACGATGGCTTGCCCTTACAAAACTTGCGAGCGGTAGTAAACGATGGCTCGCCTTTACAAAACTTGCGAGCGGTAGTAAACGATGGCTCGCCTTTACAAAACTTGCGAGCGGTAGTAAACGATGGCTCGCCTTTACAAAACTTGCGAGCGGTAGTAAACGGTGGCTCGCCTTTACAGAACTTGCGAGTGGTAGTAAACGATGGCTTGCCCTTACAAAACTTGCGAGCGATAGTAAACGATGGCTCGCGTTTTCAAAACTTGCGATCGGTAGTAAATGATGGCTTGCCTTTACAAAACTTGCAAGCGATAGTAAACGATGGCTCGCCTTTACAAAACTTGCGAGCAGTAGTAAACAATGGCTCGCATTTACAAAACTTGCGAGCGGTAGTAAACGATGGCTCGCCTTTACAAAACTTGCGAGCGGTAGTAAACGATGGCTCGCCTTTACAAAACTTGCAAGCGATAGTAAACGATGGCTCGCCTTTACAAAACTTGCGAGCGGTAGTAAACGATGGCTCGCATTTACAAAACTTGCGAGCGGTAGTAAACGATGGCTCGCATTTACAAAACTTGCGAGCGGTAGTAAACGATGGCTCGCCTTTACAAAACTTGCGAGCGGTAATAAACGATGGCTCGCCTTTACAAAACTTGCGAGCGGTAGTAAACGATGGCTCGCATTTACAAAACTTGCGAGCGGTAGTAAACGATGGCTCGCCTTTACAAAACTTGTGAGCGGTAGTAAACGATGGCTCGCCTTTACAAAAACTGCGAGCGATAGTAAACGATGGCTAGTCTTTTCAAAACTTGCGAGCGGTAATAAACGATGGCTCGCCTTTACAAAACTTGCGAGCGGTAATAAACGATGGCTCGCCCTTACAAAACTTGCGAGTGGTAGTATAATAGTGGTTCGCCTTTACAGAACTTTCGAGCGGTAATAAACGATGGCTCACCTTTACAAAACTTGCGAGCGGTAATAAACGATGGCTCGCCTTTACAAAACTTGCGAGCGGTAGCGAACGGTGGCTCGCCTTTACAGAACTTGAGAGCGGTAGTAAACGATGGCTTGCCCTTACAAAACTTGCGAGCGGTAGTAAACGGTGGCTCGCCTTTACAGAACTTGCGAGTGGTAGTAAACGATGGCTTGCCCTTACAAAACTTGCGAGCGGTAGTAAACGATGGCTCGCGTTTACAAAACTTGCGAGCGGTAGTAAACGATGGCTCGCCTTTACAAAACTTGCGAGCGGTAGTAAACGATGGCTTGCCTTTACAAAACTTGCGAGCGGTAGTAAACGATGGCTCGCCTTTACAAAACTTGCGAGCGGTAGTAAACGATGGCTCGCATTTACAAAACTTGCGAGCGGTAGTAAACGATGGCTCGCCTTTACAAAACTTGCGAGCGGTAGTAAACGATGGCTCGCATTTACAAAACTTGCGAGCGGTAGTAAACGATGGCTCGCCTTTACAAAACCTGCAAGCGATAGTAAACGATGGCTAGTCTTTTCAAAACTTGCGAGCGGTAATAAACGATGGCTCGCCTTTACAAAACTTGCGAGCGGAAATAAACGATGGCTTGCCCTTACAAAACTTGTGAGTGGTAGTATAATGGTGGTTCGCCTTTACAGAACTTTCGAGCGGTAATAAACGATGGCTTGCCTTTACAAAACTTGCGAGCGGTAGTAAACGGTGGCTCGCCTTTACAGAACTTGCGAGCGGTTGTAAACGATGGCTCGCCTTTACAAAACTTGCGAGCGGTAGTAAACTGTGGCTCGCCTTTACAGAACTTGCGAGCGGTAGTAAACGATGGCTCGCCCTTACAAAACTTGCGATTGGTAGTAAACGATGGCTCGCCTTTACAAAACCTGCGAGCGGTAGTAAACGATGGCTCGCATTTACAAAACTTGCGAGCGGTAGTAAACGATGGCTTGCCTTTACAAAACTTGCGAGCGGTAGTAAACGATGGCTTGCCCTTACAAAACTTGCGAGCGGTAGTAAACGATGGCTCGCCTTTACAGAACTTGCGAGCGGTAGTAAACGATGGCTCGCCTTTACAAAACTTGCGAGCGGTAGTAAACGATGGCTTGCCTTTACAAAACTTGCGAGCGGTAGTAAACGATGGCTCGCCTTTACAAAACTTGCGAGCGGTAGTAAACGATGGCTCGCATTTACAAAACTTGCGAGCGGTAGTAAACGATGGCTCGCATTTACAAAACTTGCGAGCGGTAGTAAACGATGGCTCGCCTTTACAAAACTTGCGAGCGGTAGTAAACGATGGCTCGCCTTTACAAAACTTGCGAGCGGTAGTAAACGATGGCTCGCCTTTACAAAACTTGCGAGCGGTAGTAAACGATGGCTCGCCTTTACAAAACTTGCGAGCGGTAGTAAACGATGGCTCGCCTTTACAAAACTTGCGAGTGATAATAAACGATGGCTCGCCTTTACAAAACTTGCGAGCAGTAGTAAACGATGGCTCGCCTTTACAAAACTTGCGAGCGGTAGTAAACGATGGCTCGCCTTTACAAAACTTGCGAGCGGTAATAAACGATGGCTTGCCCTTACAAAACTTGCGAGCGGTAGTAAACGATGGCTCGCCTTTACAAAACTTGCGAGCGGTAGTAAACGATGGCTAGCCTTTACAAAACTTGCGAGCGGTAGTAAACGATGGCTCGCCTTTACAAAACTTGCGAGCGGAAATAAACGATGGCTCGCCTTTACAAAACTTGCGAGCGGTAGTATAATAGTGGTTCGCCTTTACAGAACTTTCGAGCGGTAATAAACGATGGCTCACCTTTACAAAACTTGTGAGCGGTAGCGAACGGTGGCTCGCCTTTACAGAACTTGAGAGCGGTAGTAAACGATGGCTTGCCCTTACAAAACTTGCGAGCGGTAGTAAACGATGGCTCGTCTTTACAAAACTTGCGAGCGGTAGTAAACGATGGCTCGCCTTTACAAAACTTGCGAGCGGTAGTAAACGATGGCTCGCCTTTTCAAAACTTGCGATCGGTAGTAAACGATGGCTCGCCTTTACAAAACTTGCGAGAGGTAGTAAACGATGGCTCGCCTTTACAAAACTTGCGAGCGGTAGTAAACGATGGCTCGCATTTACAAAACTTGCGAGCGGTAGTAAACGATGGCTCGCCTTTACAAAACTCGCGAGCGGTAGTAAACGATGGCTTCCCGGCCTTTACAAAACTTGCGACCGCTCGGTAGTAAACGATGGCTCGCCTTTACAAAACTTGCGAGCGGTAGTAAACGATGGCTCGTCTTTACAAAACTTGCGAGCGGTAGTAAACGATGGCTCGCCTTTACAAAACTTGCGAGCGGTAGTAAACGATGGCTCGCCTTTACAAAACTTGCGAGCGGTAGTAAACGATCGCATTTACAAAACTTGCGAGCGGTAGTAAACGATGGCTCGCCTTTACAAAACTTGCGAGCGGTAGTAAACGATGGCTCGCCTTTACAAAACTTGCGAGCGGTAGTAAACGATGGCTCGCCTTTACAAAACTTGCGAGCGGTAGTAAACGATGGCTCGCCATTTACAAAACTTGCGAGCGGTAGTAAACGATGGCTTGCCCTTACAAAACTTGCGAGCGGTAGTAAACGATGGCTCGCATTTACAAAACTTGCGAGCAGTAGTAAACGATGGCTCGCCTTTACAAAACTTGCGAGCGGTAGTAAACGATGGCTCGCCTTTACAAAACTTGCGAGCGGTAATAAACGATGGCTCGCTCTTACAAAACTTGCGAGCGTTAGTAAACGATGGCTCGCCTTTACAAAACTTGCGAGCAGTAGTAAACGATGGCTTGCCCTTACAAAACTTGCGAGCGGTAGCGTTTGTAAACGATGGCTCGCCTTTACAAAACTTGCGAGCGCTCGTGCGAGTAAACGATGGCTCGCCTTTAGCGGTAAAACTTGCGAGCGGTAGTAAACGATGGCTCGCCTTTACAAAACTTGCGAGCGGTAGTAAACGATGGCTCTTTAAAAAACTTGCCTTTACAAAACTTGCGAGCGGTAGTAAACGATGGCTCGCCTTTACCTTGCGAGCAAAACTTTTCAAAACTTGCGAGTGGTAGTATAACGGTGGCTCGCCTTAACAGAACTTGCGAGTGGTAATAAACGATGGTTCACCTTTACAAAACTCGTGGGCGGTAGTACAACGGTGGCTCGCATATGCAAAACTTGGGAGCAGTAGAATAACGCTCGCAAGAACCGTCTTCTGCCGGGAAGACGGTTCTTAGCATTCACTTAGCGATGTCATTTTTGGCTCTTCCCCATCTTCGTGACCTGAGATGAATGGCTCTTCACCTTCGAACTGGCCGTTTTGAACATCATATCTATCCATTCAATAAATTCAGTAGACGTAATTATGGTATACTTGTCGAACCATATTATCTGGGTTTGCAGGAAATCTTGGTTGTTTAGCAGTCTCCGGAAGTGTGTGAACTCAGACGAGTCACCAAGACTGATGTTCTCAAGAACAATGCAGGCGCGGAAGGTGGTGGTGTTCTTTCTGTCCTGAAGTTCCCAAAGGATGTTGGAATTGAGGTTTTTGCTGTCGGTAACCTCGGAGGTAAACCTCAAGAATTTTGTATCTATTACGGTTTTCGAGGGTTGTGAAGTGACTTCTTCCACCCCCACGGCGTCGTCCTCTTCCACCCCCACGGCGTCGTCCTCGTCCATCCCCTCGGCGTCGTCCTCCTCCACCCCTGCGGCGTCGTCCTCGTACACCCCCTCGGCGTCGCCCTCTTCCACCCCTGCGGCGTCGTCCTCCTCCACCCCTGCGGCGTCGTCCTCCTCCACCCCTGCGGCGTCGTCCTCATCCATCCCATCTGAGTCGCCATCTTCCACCTCTGCGACGTTGTCTTCTTCCACCCCCGCAGCTTCGTCCTCTTCCACCCCTGCGACGTCGTCGTCTTCCACCACAGCGGCGTCGTCCTCTTGTACTCCGGCGGCGTCGGCCTCTTTATCCCCTGAGGCGTCGTGGGGGTGGAAGTGGGGGTGCAGTCCCGCGCCGTCGTCCTCTTGCTGTCCCGCGGCGTCGTCCTCTTGCTGTCCCGCGGCGTCGTCCTCTTGCGGTCCCGCGGCTTCGTCATCTTGCGGTCCCGCGGCGTCGTCCTCTTGCGGTCCCGCGGCGTCTTCCTCTTGAGGCCCCGCGGCGTCGTTCTCTTCCTCCCCCACGGCGTCGTCCTCCTCCACGGCGTCGTCCCTTGCGGCGTCGTCGGTCTCTTCCACCCCCGCGGCGTCGTCCTCTTCCTCCCCCTCGGCGTCGTCCTCTTCCTCCCCCACGGCGTCGTCCTCTTCCACCCCCGCGGCGTCGTCCTCTTCCACCCCCGCGGCGTCGTCCTCTTCCACCCCCGCGGCGTCGTCCTCTTCCACCCCCACGGCGACGTCCTCTTCCACCCCTGCGGCGTCGTCCTCTTCCACCCCTGCGGCGTCGTCCTCTTCCATCCCCACTGCGTCGTCCTCTTCCACCCCTGCGGCGTCGTCCTCTTCCACCCCAGCGGCGTCGTCCTCTTCCACCTCCGCGGCGTCGTCCTCTTCCATTCCCGCGGCGTCGTCCTCTTCCACCCCCACGGCGTCGTCCTCTTCCACCCCCGCGGCGTCGTCCTCTTCCACCCCCGCGGCGTCGTCCTCTTCCACCCCCGCGGCGTCGTCCTCTTCCACCCCCGCGGCGTCGTCCTCTTCCACCCCCGCGGCGTCGTCCTCTTCCACCTCCGCGACGTGATCCTCTTCCACTCCCACGGCGTCATCCTCTTCCACTCCCACGGCGTCATCCTCGTCCACCTTCACGGCGTCACCCTCTTCCAGACCCGCGGCGTCATCCTCTTCCACCTCAGCGGGGTTATCCTCTTCCACCCCCACGGCGTCGGCCTCTTGCAGTCCAGCGGCGTCGTCCTCTTCCACCTCCGTGGCGTCATCCTCTTCCACCCCCGCGGCGTCGTCATCTTTGACCCCCGGGGCGTTGTCACCTAGGACCCCCGCGGCGTCGTCATCCAGGACCCCCGCGGCGTCGTCATCCTGAACCCCCGGGGCGTCGTCATCCTGAACCCCCGCGGCGTCGTCATCCTGGACCCCCGCGGCATCGTCATCCTGGACCCCCGCGGCGTCGTCATCCTGGACCCCCGCGGCGTCGTCATCCTGGACCCCCGCGGCGTCGTCATCCTGGACCCCCGCGGCGTCGTCATCCTGGACCCCCGCGGCGTCGTCATCCTGGACCCCCGCGGCGTCGTCATCCTGGGCCCCCGCGGCGTCGTCATCCTGGACCCCCGCGGCGTCGTCATCCTGGACCTCCGCGGCGTCGTCATCCTGGACCCCCGCGGCGTCGTCATCCTGGACCCCCGCGGCGTCGTCATCCTGGACCCCCGCGGCGTCGTCATCCTGGACCCCCGCGGCGTCGTCATCCTGGACCTCCGCGGCGTCGTCATCCTGGACCCCCGCGGCGTCGTCATCCTGGACCCCCGCGGCGTCGTCATCCTGGACCCCCGCGGCGTCGTCATCCTGGGCCCCCGCGGCGTCGTCATCCTGGACCCCCGCGGCGTCGTCATCCTGGACCTCCGCGGCGTCGTCATCCTGGACCCCCGCGGCGTCGTCATCCTGGACCCCCGCGGCGTCGTCATCCTGGACCCCCGCGGCGTCGTCATCCTGGACCCCCGCGGCGTTCTGTGCGGAACGTCGCATAGCGACAACGTAAGCAACAAATCCGAACAAAATCACGGCGTAGGCGACGCTCATCGCCACGTCGTGCCGAACGCACCTGCAGACGCTTGCCACGTCGTCGGTCAGCTGGTTCAGGCGCTTGAACGAGGATACGATCGGGAACCACATGCCCGTGCAGGGCACCTGCAGGTCCCGGGGCACCACCCGCCATACCAGCGGCAGGTTGGCCAACCACGCCCAGAGGACACTCACGTAGGTTCCTCGAGGCTTCTTCCCGGCGCCCCAGACCAGGAGGGTACTAGCCCCATCCCAGAGCCAGGTCACGAGGCTGGTGTGACGATGTGCTTGCTGCAGGTCCTGGTACACCTGGTTCACGCGGGTGTAGTGCCAGGCCAGGAGGTACTCCAGGCAGAGCCATGTGGCGGTAATGAAGCTTAATGCAAGTTGAGACTTTGTGGGCATCATGTTGCGTAAGAGATGATTTTGTTTTATGTTAACGAATATACTATTTCACTAGAGGAAATAGGTGTGGCGTTACAGGTGAAAGTGGGTTGGTCCATCCCACGTCTGTCTGTCTCTCTCTCGTACTGTCCAGCTGGAACCATCTCTCGTGAACCATCTCTCTTGAACCGTCTCTGTCGTACCGTCTCTCTCTCGTACTGTCTTCCTGGTACCGTCTCTGTCGTACCGTCTTCCTGGTACCGTCTCTCCAGTACCGTCTCTTTGATACCGTGTCTCTCAACTATCTCTATCTATACCTCCATATTTTTACTCCTGTCTATTTCTTCGTGTGTGTGTGTGTGTGTGTGTGTGTGTGTGTGTGTGTGTGTGTGTGTGTGTGTGTGTGTGTGTGTGTGTGTGTGTGTGTGTGTGTGTGTGTGTGTGTGTGTGTGTGTGTGTGTGTGTGTGTGTGTGTGTGTGTGTACTCACCTAATTGTACTCACCTAATTGTGCTTGCGGGGGTTGAGCTTTGGCTCTTTGGTCCCGCCTCTCAACTGTCAATCAACTGGTGTACAGATTCCTGAGCCTACTGGGCTCTATCATATCTACATTTGAAACTGTGTATGGAGTCAGCCTCCACCACATCACTTCCTAGTGCATTCCATTTATTAACTACTCTGACACTGAAAAAATTCTTTCTAACGTCTCTGTGGCTCATCTGGGTACTAAGTTTCCACCTGTGTCCCCTTGTTCGTGTCCCACCCGTGCTGAAGAGTTTGTCTTTGTCCACCCTGTCAATTCCCCTGAGAATTTTGTAGGTGGTTATCATGTCTCCCCTTACTCTTCTGTTTTCCAGGGATGTGAGGTTCAGCTCCTTTAGCCTTTCCTCGTAGCTCAATCCTCTCAGTTCCGGGACGAGCCTGGTGGCATACCGCTGAATCTCCTCTAACTTTGTCTTGTGTTTAACTAGGTATGGACTCCAGGCTGGAGCTGCATACTCCAGGATTGGTCTTACATAAGTGGTATACAGGGTTCTGAAAGATTCCTTACACAAGTTTCTGAAGGCAGTTCTTATGTTGGCCAGTCTAGCATATGCCGCTGATGATATTCTTTTGATGTGGGCCTCTGGGGACAGGTTCGGTGTGATATCAACCCCCAGATCCTTCTCTCTATTTGATTCTTGCAGGATTTCCCCTCCCAGATGATACCTTGTGTTCAGCCTCCTGCTCCCTTCGCCTAATTTCACCACCTTAAACTTTCCAGAGTTGAACTTCAGCAGCCATTTTCTAGACCATTCCTCCAGTTTATCCAGGTCATCCTGTAGTCTCTGTCTATCTTCATCCGTCTTGATTCTTCTCATAATTTTTGCATCATCAGCAAACATCGAGAGGAATGAGTCTATACCCTCTGGAAGATCGCTCACATATATTAGAAACTGATGGGTCCAAGTACTGAGCCCTGTGGGACTCCGCTGATGACATCTCGCCACTCTGATGTCTTCCCCCTCACCGTTACTCGCTGTTTCCTGTTGCTTAAGTACTCCCTTATCCACTGGAGCACCTTCCCTTTTACTCCTGCCTGTTGCTCCAACTTTTTAACAGCCTTTTATGGGGTACTGTGTCAAAGGCTTTTTGGCAATCCAGGAAAATGCAGTCGGCCCACCCTTCTCTTTCCTGCCTAATTTTCGTTGCCTGGTCATAAAATTCCATTAAACCTGTGAGGCACGATTTACCATCTCTGAACCCATGTTGGTGGTGCGTTACAAAGTTATTTCCCTCCAGATGCTCTACGAGCCTTTTCCTCACGATCTTCTCCAGCACCTTGCATGGTATACAAGTTAAGGAAACTGGCCTGTAATTCAGTGCCTCTTGCCTGTCACCCTTTTTGTATATTGGGACCATGTTAGCTGTCTTCCAACTTTCTGGTAAGTCTCCTGTTTCCAGTGACCTGTTATACACCATAGAGAGTGGCACACTTAGTGCTTCTGCACCTTCCTTTAGTATCCATGGTGAGATTCTATCAGGCCCAACAGCCTTTGTCACATCTAGCTCCAGCAGACACCTTTTGACCTCAATACTGGTGAGGTCAAATTCCTCCAAGGTTGCTTGGTTTGCCGCCTCCTCATTTAGTGCAGGGGCTTCTCCTTGTTCTATTGTGAAGACCTCCTGGAATCTCTTGTTGAGTTCTTCACACACCTCCTTGTCATTCTCTGTGTATCTGTTCTCCCCTTTCCGCAGCTTTATCACTTGTTCCTTCACTGCTGTTTTCCTCCTGATATGGCTGTGGAGCAGCTTTGGTTGGGTCTTGGCTTTACTCGCAATGTCATTTTCAAACTGTCTCTCTGCTTCCCTCCTCACTCTGATGTACTCATTTCTGGCCCTCTGGTATCTCTCCCTGCTCTCTGGTGTTCTGTTATTTCTGTAGTTTCTCCATGTTCTTTTACTCAGTTGTTTCGCTACCTTACATTCCTGGTTGAACCATGTGTGTGTGTGTGTGTGTGTGTGTGTGTGTGTGTGTGTGTGTGTGTGTGTGTGTGTGTGTGTGTGTGTGTGTGTGTGTGTGTGTGTGTGTGTGTGTGTGTGTGTGTGTGTGTATGTGTGTACTCACCTAGTTGTACTCACCTAGTTGTGTTTGCGGGGGTTGAGCTCTGGCTCTTTGGTCCCGCCTCTCAACCGTCAATCAACAGGTGTACAGATTCCTGAGCCTATCGGGCTCTGCCATATCTACACTTGAAACTGTGTATGGAGTCAGCCTCCACCACATCACCCCCTAATGCATTCAATTTGTCAACCACTCTGACACTAAAAAAGTTCTTTCTAATATCTCTGGGGCTCATTTGGGCACTCAGTTTCCACCTGTGTCCCCTTGTGCGTGTTCCCCTTGTGTTAAATAGAATGTCTTTATCTACCCTATCAATCCCCTTCAGAATCTTGAATGTGGTGATCATGTCCCCCCTAACTCTTCTGTCTTCCAGCGAAGTGAGGTTTAATTCCCGTAGTCTCTCCTCGTAGCTCATACCCCTCAGCTCGGGTACTAGTCTGGTGGCAAACCTTTGAACCTTTTCCAGTTTAGTCTTATCCTT